GCTTAAAAGCATTTTTGCAGCTAACCGCTTTAAACGATTCTATCGCCGCGATTAAACCTTTTTTCCTTTTAATAAAGACGACGAAGAAAAAGAAGAAAAAGATTCGGGTTTTTTAGACAATTTAGACCTCAACGAATACGAGCCTTCCGACGACGGCAAAGATGAACCACTTAATTTAAAAGTGATCTTTGGACTTAGATCTACTAACTTTTAAATCATTTTTTTAACACTTTCGAAAGAATAAAAATTAGCTTATAAAACTGTTTCTTAATCTATTCTTTTACTTTTGTTTTCTTACCTTTTTATCTTTTCTTTGTTCTATACTTATTCTATAAAAGAACGTGCTCTTAATGATTACTCTTTTTATTTTAATAAAGAAAGGTATTTCTTACGTTTATTCTTTCACTTTTAAACCTGCTTTTTATTGTATTTTCTATTCTTTCCTTATTCTTTTCACCTTATTAGCTATTCACTTGTCTTATACAGATTGTTCTTATTATTTGATTGTTTTTTATTTGTTTTAAGCTTATACGGCTATTTCTTATTTCTTATTCGAGACTATTCTTTTGTTTTAAACGTACTTAACCACGTGTATTCGAAAGAAAACTGCTGTTAAAAAGAGTAAGTCCTCTTTATAAATGCACTTATATAAGAAAGCTCCCTCTTCTTTCTTCTTAACATTTTCTCTCTTTATATAATAATAATTATAATAATACTACTACTACTTTTCTTTATAACTACATAAAACCATATTAATACTAACGACTTTTAATTATTATTTAATCAATCGCTACTATTATCAACTTTTATTCCGCTATTTTATGTTTAGCTCGTAAACCGTAGTTCACGAGTCAAATATGCTTTTTAAGTTAGCCGCCCGGCGCTAAAGGAAAAGCCTTTATCCGTAATACACCTTTTAGCTTATTAATAAGCGAAAAGCAAGCTGCTTTAGCCCGATAATCGAGTTTCGAATTAAAGTTCGAAAGACAAATCACTAAGACTTTCGATAAGTTCTTTTAAACTTACCGCTAAATAAGCAACTTTAGTCAACTAACTATACTTCAAGTAGCAACTTCCGATCTTAATAATAAATTAAGTAAAGAAGATAACTTGATTTTGCAATACGACTAATTCTTACGAGCTGAATGCGCAAGAAAGAATATAAACGCCGAAAACCTTTTTTCGACTTACGACTAGTTTATTATTAAAGTCACCGCTATTTATTCTTTACGCAACAAGAACGCCGAAAGATATAAACGAATTAAAAAAGCCTTCGACGGCGTTCGAAGCCAATTGTTATACGACGATTACTTTAAAGCTATATGCACTTCAATCCGTAGCGCTCGCTAATTAAGCGTTATCTTAAAGACTTGCACCTTTAACGCTTACGCTATCCAAGTTATCAACTATTATATTATTATTTACGTCGCTTTTTAAAAGACTATAACTAATATAGCCCGAAAACGCAAGTTTATTAAGCTTAATGCTACGGTAATTAATCTCACTTGCTAGACCGTAAAAAACAAGAACAATATTAAATAAAAAGATAAGATCGCTATTCTTAATGAAAAACTCTTAAAGAAGCTAAGATTAAAGGTCTTATTATATAGCTTATTGATTTTGGCTCTCGATAATATTAAAAGCGAATACGACGAGCTTAAAGAACGTATAAAGTTTGCCGACGAGAATTAAACTTAGAATTTCGTTTTGCAAAAAGAACTCGAATTCGAAATTCTATTCGTAAACTATAATTTACGAATAAAAGATAACTCAGCAATTAAAGCAAGATTAAGTCAACTTTTTGCTCTTAAAACCTTTTTGCTTAAATCACTTATTACGAGCCTTTCGTTATCATTAGCCTTATCTTAAAGATCGACGTTATCTTTTGCTAATAAAGCTTCGAACGCTAAACTGATTGCTTCGATTATGTTTACTTTACGCAAGTCTATCGACGCGAGCTCTTTTATAGCTTTTACATTCGAAGTGCAACGCGACCTTTTCGAAAACTAGCTGTTATTAGCATTATCTGTTAAAGAAAAAAACAGCCTCGAATACGAACTAATTAAAGCTGTATCGAACCGTTATTTAAGACTCGTCGAGATTAAAGACTTTATAAGTATAAACGTAGCCTTTATCAACTTTTGCTAAGACTTTTATTAATTAGTCCTCGACCGCTTGAACTTAAACGAGAATATCAACAATACTTTTCAAGTTGCCGCGGAATTAATTAAGAAAGCTATTAGCTAGATCCGCAAGCTTTTAAAAAACGAATTCTTTAATAACGCGATCTTACGACTCTTCGACCGTCGTAACTAAGTAAAAGTAAATAAAAAAGGAAGCAAAGTAATAAACTACTTCTTATTATCCGAGATCTTTAATTTAAGCTTTAACGACGACGATTACGATTATATAAAAGTCTTTTAAAAAATAAAGAACGTATTAGAATTTAAAGATAAATTTAAAAAACTCTTTAACTTAAACGTTTAAACGAAGCTCCGCTTTAGCCGCAAAATCTCACCGTCCGTTATCGACCTATCAAAAGAAGTCTTTTACGAAGTCTATACTTTCGAATACGCTAAATACTTTAAGCTAGCTACGAAAAGCTTTATAATAACGGTAATCCGTTCTAACTTATATCGATTCATCGAAGCTTTTTAAATCAACGCTCTTAACAACTTTATGCTTTACTCGAGCAATTAATCGATATTCGCTATTAAGACTAAAAGCAGTACTCTAGCTAAGAGAATGTCTAGCTTAAGCTTTTTTAAGTTTAAAGCTAAGCCGATATCCTTTAACAAGCTGAATTAAAGCACTAGCTTAATAAGCACCGCTTAAAAAAACAGCTTTTTTAACACTTTAAATACGAATAGCTATACGAAAGTTTAGCTTATATTAAGAGCTTCCTTTTTAAACGGTAAGCACGGTAACTAGACCTTTTTTATTATTATAAATAAAAAGATTTAAATGTACTTTTACTACTTTCAGACTAGTGACTTAAAAAGAGCTTCGATTATTGCATTCTTTAATATAATGTACTTTTTAACTTAGCAAGTCTTTCGAAGCTATTATAAGCTATACTTTGCTGCTTTGCTTAATCGCCGAGACGGAAACTATAAGCTTATCGCTTACCCGGAACTCTTTTAGCTTTTTAAATGCAATAATAATGCTCGAGTAATTGCGATTAAACACGACGTTAATACTAAACGACTTGTAAACCGTAGTTTATAAGTAAAAGACAAAGTTTTAAACTATTATTTAATACTTTACGGCGTAAAGAATCAAATCGAAAGCTTAAGTATTTAATTTAAAAGTTACACTTACGATATTATCTTTAAAAAGATCGCTAAATAAAAAGCTTTTAAACTTAAGTCGAAGACTTTAAATGCTTTTAAAAACATTGCGCTACGCTAACCTTTCGTTATAATTATAAATCTCGCCACTTTTATATCCGTTATTACAAAATAAAGTGTTTTTTTAAATATAAACGCTTTTTAAAATTCTTTTTACGGATAAGCTATCTTTTTTAACAATTATACCGCTTTGCTAAACGATAACACTTTAGAAAATAAAGTCAGCTTTACAAAGCACGCTTGCATTATTGTTTTAAAACGCATGCCGCTAACCTTTCGATAAAAAGTTATTAATAAATCAAGCTAGCTTTTCGTCGCTATAATTTAGCTAAACTACGTTAGTTTCGTATCAAAAGCTTTAATCGAAAAAATAAATTAAAACGAATCTCGAATAATAAAAGAATTGACCGTTATCTTTATTATATCTCGGACTTAGTTTTAAGAACACTTTATTAAGCATAAGAAAAAGTTGTTTTCGGCATTTAAAAAAGGATTTGCTATTGTATTAGATGCGGAAGCTAAGACTTACGAAGCTAAGTTTTTTTTTAAAAGCAAAAGCCGTCGAGCTAACGACTTTATAAACGCCGATAAATTAAAAGATTTTAAAAAAAGCTTACGACCGATTAAATTGTCTTTTAACAACTCCGATTTAAGTGTAGAAATTACTTTAGAAAGTGCGAAATCTACTCGTAAACTACGGTTCACGAGCTAAATCGACGATCTTAAAGCATTATCTTTTAAGCTGGAATCTTTAAACCGCGCATTCGATAAGGTTATAAAAGCTTTAGCTAACTTGCTCGAAAACGAAGACGACTTAACTAATAGCTTTAGACTTTATTCTAGCTTCGCTGACCTTCCGTCGGCTAAGTTCATACTTATTAATAATGCTATTAACAAGCGCAAGAACGATACGCGCTTTTTCACTTTTAAAAATGCTGCTATTAGCACGTCATCGTCTAATGCTGGCCTTGTTAAAAGAAAAAGACCTTCTTAGCTTAAAAAGAACGAAAGAGTTAAAGACGTAAGCACGGAAAGAGACTATAAGGAAGCTGCCGAAGCGTAGTTTAAATGTTTAGAGTTTAAAGACAAGATACTTCCCCTTCTTTTTATATACTAGATTTTTTTCTCTTTCTTTTACACTTTTTTTTTTTTCTTCTTGCTTGATAGTAAGCGGAAGCGCTTACTTATTCTATGAAAGGACGGATATAAACACTTTGCTTGATAAGGTGCTTGCTATAGCTACTAAAGCTACATTAAACGGACCTATCTTTTATAAGAGGGTACACATCTTTTAGCTAGAATAATCAACGAGCTTTCCACCCACCTTTTCTAACACTTCCTTGTGAAACCATAAGGTCTAGCCTTAGAGCCAGGCTTTTATACGGCACATCTTTTTGGGTGCTTCTACATTACGATAAACTAGTCGAATTCTTTCGTAGATACAAGTAGTAAGCTTTCGATCGACGCTACGTATTAAGAGAATTTGCTTTTCGTCACTCTTTTTGCGTCTTTAAAGGCTTGGAACTTGGCGACGGATGCTTTTCTCTCGTCGGAGGTGTAGTTAGTGCTTTAGCAACTTGGCTTCTTGTAAACAAAACACCTTTTCTTACTTTTAATAGTAGCTTTAACAGCTTTCTTACTTTCGAAGTATTAGCGGTCTTGAATAAAGCATTCGTATTCTTCGTCTAAATCGGAGTCAGCTTTTAAGGTGTTGTAAGAGCAAGTGTGATCGTGTGGCTCGCTAAAGCTCGCGTAAGCTTTACTTGCTTTAGCGTAAGGTCGAGGGGCTTTATTTGCAAACGCAATAGCTTTGCGAATATCGGCAACTGCGGCGGTAAAAGTAAAAGCAAGGTTCATTCGTGTAATCGTAGTCTTTAACACGTTTTTATAAGCTAAATACAGCTTGTTAGCAAGACTTCGATTATCTTTTAAACCTGGTCGTAAAGAGCTTTGAATCCTTTTAAGCTTTTTAACGAGCTTCTTAAAGCACTCGTTAAGCGAAGTATTTAGATTCTTTTTTTTAATTAAATCTAACGAAATTTCCTTTTAGCGATCGTATTTTGCTTGCCGCCGGTAGTCAGTCTCGAAGTGGTCCTTTATTATAATAGCGTTCGCTTTGAAAGTTAGAAGCTTAGCTTTGATAACGTAGTTATAATAAAAAGTTATAACTTCTTTTGTGAGCATAATCGAGAACGCCGTTAAGTAGTCGTCGAAAGTTAAACCGTATCGACTTGCTTAGTTAATAAAAATCTTTAATTGAGTCTTGAAGTCATCGTCGGGTCTTGAATACTTCAGCTCTTTAAGAAAGCTTCGCGCGAATAAAGCTAACTCTTTTGCCTTTAAGTAAAGGTCCGTTGCTCTTAGCTTAAGGAAATCGTTTCTATTATCGTTAAAAGCGCTTGGAGTGCTGTACGCAAGCGTGCTTTACTTAAGCAATGGTCTGATCGATAAAAGGTTACTGATATAGTTGCCGGTAGTCCGTCTTTTTCCAAGGTCTTTAAGAAGCTCATTTCCGAATCCGAAGTCCTTTAAAGGTCCGTTTCCGAATCCTTTTAATAGTTTAAAAAAGCCGTTCTTACCTCCTCCGTACTCGTAGCCTCGATTTCTTTACTAATCTTTCCCGTTCTTTTTTCGTCGGTCATCGTTAAAGTCGTTAAAGCTATTCGGGTCACCGGCTAAAGCTCTAGCTTAATGATATCCGTACTTTTAAGCACGCTCTTAACGATTCTTATACCTTTAGTATCTTTCTTATCGATACGTAGCTTGTTGAAGGATTTAAAGAGCTTGTTGATACGTCCGAAGGTGCTAGAACCCTTTCTCGGGTTGCTAAGTTTTTTTCTCGGGTTGCTGAAGTTAAGCACGGAAATCTGCACGCTGTCTTTAGTAAGAGCTGATTTTGCTCGGAATGCTCTTAGGCTTTAATAAGTCCTCTTTTAGCGTGTAACTCCCGTAGCCTCGAGTGTTGTCTAGTCCGATGATGATCTCAAGACCTTTGTTATTATTGCTATTAAGCTTAAGCTTTTTAGAAAACTAAGTGTAGCTCTTAAGAAAGGGGTTTAAGAGCCGCTAAGGTAATTTTAGCTCTTCTTAAATGATTAGCGTATTGCGTAGCGATTGATAGATTGAAAGCGTCAAGTACGCTGAAGTGCTTCGTCGTAGCTTTTCGTTAGATTGTATAGCGTAAGTCCGTAATTCCGCCATTTGCCTTGCTATTACTTTTATATTTTGCTTTATATCCTTCTTTTCTTTCGCAAACTCCTCGCGTAACCTCCGAATCTCTTCCCTTTCCCTCCCTAATACCTCCTTTTCCTTCCCTTTTAGACTTCGTAAGAGTGGCGGTAAAAGTGGTTGAAGTGTAATATCGTCGTCGTCCGTAAGGTTTTCGGCGGTCCACCTTGAATCGAGACTTAAAAGTATTGCTTGTTATTCTTTTATTTCTTCGAAGGTCCATTAATATTGCTGCTCGTCGTTCAATAGCTTGACCATCTTATTAGCATAACCCTTTTGCTTTAAAGGGCACTACACGCTTTTAGATAACAAGTGTTCTTTAAAGCTAATAAAAGTAGCATACTTAAGGCTTCGTCTTGTATTGTCCTTCGTCATCGTAAAACTCGTTTAATCTTAGCGTAAGAAAGCGTGCCGGAATAAGCTTTACAAGTCGTAATCCTTTAGCTTTTTACACTTCGCATTTAAAAAGTCTCTTACTATCGCTCGAGCCGTGATCTCACTGTTTAGCTTTGCGTATAATAGCTCGTTTAAGTCAAATGAAATGCCCGATATCTTATCGTTTAGTCCTTTCGAAAGGCTTAAGAGCTTTAAGTATAATGTTTCTTTTGGCTGAATAGCTAAAGGTTCCGTAAGTAGTGATAAGACTCGAAGGGTATAATACTTCACCGCTCTTTGTCGGCTAGACTCTTTACTTAAAAGTCCAATTGCTCGATCGGCTATAGTTGTTGTCTGTTTGTATGTAAGTCGATTTAAATTTTGTTAAGTTACTATATATAGCAAGCGCGGCTTTTATAGCGTTGAAGTTGTTATATAAAAGTGACTTGGTTCGGAATCACTCTTCCGTAAGAATAAAGAAAATCGGTAGTATAAAAAGCGACTTGGTACGGAATCGCTTTTCCGTTATAAAAGAAAGGTATCGTAATGAAAGGTATCTTCGCTATAAAGTATTGTTAGCTTCTCTGTGATTGATCACTTAATAATAAATCAACCACTGATCAGTGTTGGATTGCTTTTAAGCGATTAAGAATATATTCGTAACTTCGTAAAGTCGTTAAAGTACTTGCAATTGCAAAACACTCGGTTGATAAAGTATTTGAATTCTGTCTGCTCCTCAAGGCTCAAGGGAGCTGATTCCTTCTATACGATTAAAAGGAATCACGTGCACTAGCTAGCTAATAGGTTTACTTGTCAAGTTGGGAAGGGTCCCTTGACTATTGGCATGCTAAGCGAAGCATGCCAAGTGACCCGTGAACCATAGTTCACGGGTGAGCTTCCCCAACTACTACTACTACTACTACTAGCTAGCTAAGGTCGATATAGATATACCGACA